AGGAAGGATGTTGACAAGCTTGAGTGTGTCCAGAAGAGGACAACCAGGATGGTGAGAGGGTTGGAATCCAAGTCTTATGAGGAAAGGCTGGAAGAGTTGGGTCTGTTCAGCCGGGGAAAGAGAAGGCTTAGAGGGTACATGATGGCAGTTTTCAAGTATTTGAAGGGCTGTCATGTAGAAGATGGAGCAGATTTATTCTCTCTTGCTCCGGACTGCAAGACTAGATCTAATGGGTGGAAATTACAAGGGAGTCAATACCGGCTAAATATCAGGAGAAACTTCCTAACTGTAAGAGTGGTTGAGCAGTGGAACAGACTGCCTCGGGAGGTGGTGGATGCTTCTTCATTGGACATTTTTAAGCGAAGGCTGGACGACCATCTTTCGGGTATGTTGTAGGGCTATCTTTTGGCTACACTCCTGCAAAGTGCAGGGGGTTGGACTAGATGACCTGCAAGATCCCTTCCAACTCCAACATTCTATGATTCTATGAAAGGGAAAGAAAGACATGGAAAGAAAAAGAAAGGGAAAGGAAAGGAAATGGAAATAAAGAAAATGAATGAATGAAGGAAAGCAAATAGATGGGGAGAAAGGAAAGAAGGGAGGGAGGAAGAGCTGGAAAGAAGGAAAAGAGCCCCCCCTCTCTCATGGCAGGCAGCCATTAGAGTGCTCGGTCTGGCTCCCCTCCTTCCAAGCGAGGGGAAGCCAAAGGGAGGAGCTGAAGGCTTCCCGCCCTTTATAGCCAGCAGCCCAGCAAGTCTGCCCATCAGATGCTCACTTCAAAGGGTGGGGCAGCCATTTTAAGGGCTCCCTTTTGCTCCCCCCCGCTTCCAAACAGGAGGGAAGCAAAAGGGAGCCCTGAGGGCTTCCCACCATTTAAAGCCAGCAGCTGCCATTTCAGGGCTCTGCTTGGCTCTCCCTGCTTCCAAGTGGGGGGAAGCCAACGGTAGCGCTGAAATGGCTTCCTGACCTTTAAAGCAAACAGCTGACTGGCAAAACCACCAGTTAGCTGTTTGCTTTAAAGGGCTGAACTTTGTAAGGAAAAACAACCGTGATATGATAACGAAACCTTGTTAAAGAAAAATATATCTTCTTTAATTATCCAGTGAATAACAAATCATAAAGGTGTTTCCTTTGAAGTAGACTGGTCTCAAGTTTTTCTTTCTGATGGTACAGCGCTCAGTGGACCGTTTCACCCAAGGTTTCATCAGGCGAGACCTGACACTAGAAAATATACAGAAATACTTAAGATTTTCAGCACTTATAGTCTGAATGCACCCAGAATAGAGATCAGAATACTTTTGTTTTTAAAGGGGGAAAAAACCTCAAACAACTCACCCTTTTGTATTTTTTCTACTCCCTCTTCCTTTCTAGCTTACATCATTTGGTTATGTGAAAAGCAGCTATGTGCTGCCCTCTAAAATTCCTTCAAGACTGTTTCAGGTGCATACCATCAGAGGTTTCTAATCTAAACCGAAGGCAGGGTAGGTAGCATAGAGAGAGATTCTGCTTCTAATACTCACAACCACTTAAGGCTATGCACATACATTTTAAGTTAGTTCATGTAAAACAATCTGATTGCAGTATTGAATACAAAACATTACAAATATTACAAAATATTACAAAATGCATATGCATCTATAATAGGGTGAAAGGAGCCAGTCCCAGTTTTAAGGCTATGCACATACATTTCTTGCACACACATGAAGCACAATCCATACATTTTAGGAATAATATATAGGACTTCAATTTAACATCCCATAGGAAGTATTATGTGGATCAAAGGAAGCAACCCAAATCAAATTCAGTATTTAGCCCAAAAGGTTCCAGTGTATTCAATTTAAAAATCCACTTTTTCTCTTGTCTTTGTAGTGATCCCAATAAGTTTTTATCCCTGGGGTCACCCACACATAGAACAGTAAATCTGAAATCTTTATTAAAAGGCCCTTTGTATAAAAATGGTTAGTAATTGGAGCTTCTTGATTTTTATGTCTAACCCGGGAAATATGTTCCAGAATACATACTTTTAGTGGACGTTTTGTGTAACCTACATACGTTCTGACAGACGCACAAACCAAAAGATATACTATGTGTGGCGTTGAACACGTTGCAAAAGAATTTAAAGAAATAATGTTATTACCAGGCAGAGTTAATTTCTTTCCTTCAAGTGTTAAGGGACATACTTTGCAATTCTTACAAGCAAAAAATCCAACTGGTAAAGCACTAGATTGAATTTTCTTTATATCTGATCTTACTATATAGTCTCTATCCGTTTTTCTGTACCCTATAAAAGGAGGGCTTTCACAACCTGGGATATCCCTAAGAAGCAGCCAGTAATGTGTTGGTCGGTATTATATCTACTCCTGAAATTACAAAATTAGCCCAGATTAGTACATTATGTGATATCGATTTCTTGTACTATGATTACACATTTTATATTTCTGTATTCGCTGGAAACATTCTTCCCACTACATGTTATCTTTGTACATGTGTTTGTTATTATTATATGTTCTCTAAATATTTCAATAAAATGTTAATTACAAAAAAAAGAAGCAGCCGCCAGTATTTGTATACAATTTCCTTAATTCTCATGGCCAATGGGGTATATGTAATGGCTCAATTTGTGATATTCCTATTTTTTATTTTCTGATTTCTGTAAAAGAATAGTTCTATCTGTGTCTCTAGCTCTCTTATATGATTGTTCCACTACATCCCGTGGTTAACCTCTTGCCAAAAATTGATCTGCCAAAATTTTACTGTCTCTAATAAAATCTTCTTGTGATGTACTGTTGTGCTTAATCCTCAAGAATTGTCCCGTGGGAATATTTTGTCTTAAATGGGCAGGATGAAAAGACTTATAGTGCAAGTAGGTGTTCCTGTCTGTTGATTTTTAAAAAATCCTTACTGCTGCTGTATTCATAGCTGTTCTATACACTCCTGTATCCAAAAAAGAGATACTCTGCTTATTATATTGCCACGTGAAGCTTATATTTTCATCCACTCCATTTAACCACGTACAAAAGGTATTCACTGTTTCTTCAGACTCGTACAGTACAAACACGTTATCTATAAACATATACCACATCTTGATTGCTGTGTAATAAGGATTTTGAACCTCATTATTTACATAATTCTTTTCCAAAAGGGCCATATATAGATTGGCTATTGAAAGTGCTACTGCACTTTCCTTCGCAACTCCTTTCACCTGAAAGTAAAAGTCCTCATAAAAACGGAAGGAATTTTTCTCCAACACTATTTCTAACAGGTTCAATAAAAATGTGTAGGTGGGTTCAGGTCTGGTCTCTGTTCTGAAAAACTCTACCACTCTTCTAGCTTCCTCTAAGGGAATACTAGTGTACAGTGATGTAACGTCCAATGTCAAAAAGACCATATTTGTTGACAGCATCCATTCCTCCACTTTGGAAATAAAAGGTGTGGTATCTCTTATGTGAGAAGGATTCTCAGCAACAAAGGGGCTTCTAGCATCCTATAAGGGAATATTAGTGTACAGTGATGTGACATCCAATGTCAAAAAGACCATATTTGTTGACAGCATCCATCCCTCCACTTTGGAAATAAAAGGTGTGGTATCTCTTATGTAAGAAGGATTCTCAGCAACAGAGGGGCTCAAAGAATGATGCACAAACTTTGACAAGGGTTCCAACACAGAACTGCTACCTGAAATTATCAGTCTACCTTTAGGTGGTCGGTCTTGTTTACGTATTTTGGGCAGTGTGTAAAACACTGGAACCCTTGGGTTGTCATTGGTCAGAAACCGCAAAACATCTTTGTCTATATATCCTGCCATCTCAGCTTCCAATAGGGCCACTCATATTATATTTGTCATATGGTTAGTTGGATCTTTGTCTATTTTCACATAATTCATGATGTCCTCTAATTGTCTGAGTGCTTCTGCCACATGGTCCTCCTTATTCACAACCACTATGGCCCCGCCCTTGTCAGCTATTTTTATGG